ACCAGCCAGGAGCAGGAGGAACAGAAGCATGACGCAGGGAATGTGGGAGCTTAGCGATGATGGGGCGCTGAAGGGGCAGACATGTACCATGGAGGGGGGAGGGTTCCGCCTGTTTCCCGTTCCTCCCTGGAGCGTATTGTGCTTGCGTGAGAGCCCCAGGGGGTCCGAGACGGCCCAAGAACGCTCCAAGATGTCCCACTGCGTTTCTTTAATAGCCTCAGAAGCTTCCAGAAGGCTTCAACAACGCTCCTACATGACCCCCGAGAAAGCCCAGCAAAGCAAATGTTGATGAATACTCCAAGGCGGTCCAGCATGCCTCCAAGATCGCCCACTGATATCCCAAGGGGCCCCCTAAGAGGTCCCCATGACGAACCCAAGAGGGCCCAGAGAAGGCCCAACAGGCCCCCAAGACGGCTCAAGGGGCATTTAAGAAATGTCCCAGAGGGGCCCAAGAGGGGGATCTCAAACAAAAAGTTCGAGCTTTCTTCCCCGAGACGGCCCTCGAGACAACCAGCAGGCCTTCAAGATATTCGTCAATACGCGCCAACAGGACGAATCCTTGTAACTAATCTGCTATCCCGGTACTGCCCTCGCTCTGGCGTGGCCTCCCTGGAGTAGTAGGTATGGTATGGTAATTTTGGTATGGTAGACGTGGTATGGTGTAGTAGGTATGCTATGATATGGTAGGTATGGCATGGTAGGCATGGCATATTATGGCATGATATGGTAAGCCTGCTATGGTATAGTAAGTTTGGTGTGGTATGGTACGGTAGGTATGGCATGGTAGGTGTGGTGTGGTAGGTATGGTATGGCAGGTCGGTGTGATATTGGTCTGGTACGCGTTGGTATGGCATAGTAGGGAGGCGGGAAAAGGAGAAGGAGAAGGAGGAGAAGGAAAAGGAGAGGGCTTTCTAGGAAAACCAGATCCCCGCTCAGGATGCGGGGAACAAGAACCCTACTCAGGATGTGGCGAATGAAGAGAAGAGAAGATGAGCACCGAGGAGGGCGGATGAGGAGGACCCAAGAGGAGTGAGGAGCGATAGTGGTCGATCTTGGGCGTGCGCAGGAGACATGGCGCTGTATCTATTCGTATCTATTTGTGGTACACATGTTTTTCCAGCGATGGGCGCCATACTGAACCGTATCTAACAATATCTAAACATATCTATCGTATCCAAAAATGACCCCGTATCTAAACATTGGAAGAAAGCATACTCCCGTATCTAAAAAAGTAAGTAATCATTTCTAAACGTATATATGTTTGATACATATACATATAACGGCGCACCGGGTCCGGGGGCCCGGGGCCGGGACCTCGACCGCAAATGTGCACCCCGGGGGGCCCGGAGGCTCGTCGGGGCTTGCCGGAGGCCTCCCCGGTCAGACAAGACGGCCCAAGAAGCGCCCAAGACGGCCCAAGAAACTTCCAAGAGGCCTCCAAGAGGGCTCCGAGATGCTGAAGATGGCCTCCAGACCTCCAAGGACGCCCCCAAGAGGCCCCAAGAAGCCTCCAACATGCGTCCCAAGAGGGCCCCTAGACGCAAAAATTGGCCCATTCCCTTCGTAAAACGTACATTTTCAACAAAGTTGTTTTTGGGCTTTCCGACGTTACAGGACGGCCCAAGAGGCGCCCAAGACCGCCCCAAGACGGCCCAAGAAGCTTCCAAGAGGGCCCCAGGACAGCCCAAGAGGGCCCCAAGACGGCCCAAGAGGCGCCCAAGATGGCCCAAGAGGGCCCCAAGACGGGCCCAAGAGGGGGCCCAGAGGGGGACCACGAACCGCAAGCTCGAGCCTTCCGCCCCAAGAGGCCGCCAGGAGGCCCCCAGGAGGCCCCTCAAGAGGCCCCAGGAGACCCCAGACGTCCAAGGACGCCCCCAAGAGGCTCCAAGAAGCCTCCAACATGCGTCCCAAGAGGGCCCCTAGACGCAAAATTGGCCCATTCCTTTCGTAAAACGTACATTTTTAACAAAGTCGCCTTTTGGGCTTTCCGACGTTACAGGACGGCCCAAAAGGCGCCCAAGACCGCCCCAAGACGGCCCAAGAAGCTTCCCAGAGGGCCCCAGGACAGCCCAAGAGGGCCCCAAGACGGCCCAAGAGGCGCCCAAGATGGCCCAAGAGGGCCCCAAGACGGGCCCAAGAGGGGGCCCAGAGGGGGACCACGAACCGCAAGCTCGAGCCTTCCGCCCCAAGAGGCCGCCAGGAGGCCCCCAGGAGGCCCCTCAAGAGGCCCCAGGAGACCCCAGACGTCCAAGGACGCCCCCAAGAGGCCCCAAGAAGCCTCCAACATGCGTCCCAAGAGGGCCCCTAGACGCAAAAATTGGCCCATTCCCTTCGTAAAACGTACATTTTCAACAAAGTCGCCTTTTGGGCTTTCCGACGTTACAGGACGGCCCAAGAGGCGCCCAAGACCGCCCCAAGACGGCCCAAGAAGCCCAGAGGGCCCCAGGACAGCCCAAGAGGGCCCCAAGACGGCCCAAGAGGCGCCCAAGATGGCCCAAGAGGGCCCCAAGACGGGCCCAAGAGGGGGCCCAGAGGGGGACCACGAACCGCAAGCTCGAGCCTTCCGCCCCAAGAGGCCGCCAGGAGGCCCCAAGGAGGCCCCTCAAGAGGCCCCAGGAGACCCCCAAGAGGCCCAAAGGAGGCCCCGAGAAGCCCCAAATCGGCCCCCAAAATGCTTCGAACCTGCTTCCAGGAGGCCCCCGACAGGTTCAGAGGCTCCCGAGAAGCTACGTCAAACTCCCAGCGAGCGGCCGGACGAGGCCCCCAAAAAAATCCCAAGAGGGTTCCAGTATTTGTATCCTTCAGCGCTCTCTGGCCTTCTTCCCCCTGCCCCCTTCCCTGCGACTTTCGTTGACTCAAGCTCGCCTCCTCTCCATTTCCTCTCTCTGCCTCTCTCTCTCTCTGTCTTTTTTTTGTTTCTCTCTCTCTCTCTCTCTCATCTCTCTTTCTCTCTCTCTCTCTCTCCTTCGCTCTCTGTCTGTCTGTCTCTCTCTCCCTCTCTTTCTCTCTTTCTCTCTCTTCCTTTCACATTCTGTGTCCTTGCGACCTTCTGCAGTCCCCGACGTCGCCACGGCTGGATCCGCTCGAGCGTGTCTTGTGATGTGCGGCGGTGCGAAGCCCGTCCCACTGATCAAGGCACAGGTACGAAATAATGGGTCCATCATTTCTTGCCTTCCCATGTGCGTTTTCCCAATCGATTCCTGGGCCCGAGGTCGCAAAAATTACGACGTCGGAGGTCTGGGGAGGCGGGAAGCACGACCTGGACCTCCGACGTCTTGGAAAAATCACGACGGCGGTTTTTGTTAATTTTCGGCCTCCGGGGCCCCTCGCAGGTTCCCGGGACCGTCAGAAAACGACTCAGGATGAAAACGACTTGGGCTACAGGGCTATTGGGCTACAGGGCTATAGGGCTGTAGGGCTATAGGGCTATAGGGCTAGGGCCATAGGGCTATAGGGCTATGTGGGCTATTCGGCTATTGGGCTATAGGGTTGTTGGGCTGTAGAGCTATGGGGCTATAGGGCTACAGGGCTATAGGATCAGAGGGCTATAGAGCTAAAGGGCTAGATGGATACAGGGATATAGGGCTATTGGGCTATAGTCCTATAGGGCTATACGGCTATAGGGCAATAGGGCTACAGGGCTATAGGGCGATAGGGCACCCCCAGGCACCCCGGCACCCGGGCACCGGGCACCCAGGCACCCAGGCACCGGGCACCCG